CAAAGAACCCAGTTGATCATGCAAGAACAAAGCACATAGACATTCGCTACCACTACATTCGTGAATGTGTGCAAAATGGACAAATACAACTGCAATATTGTCCAACAGTTGAAATGAAGGCTGATATCCTAACCAAGCCCTTGACAAAATAAAAGTTTGAACAACTTAGAAAAGACATTGGGCTTAACCCAGTCTAAGTGTGTTTACTAGAACCACTGGTTAAAAGAAAAAAATCTGTGCTGTTTATTGTTGAATATGTTATGAAAACATGACTAACAAGATTATGGATATGTTCCTTTATGGTTTGTGTTTGTGAAATAGAGCAGTACCCTTAGTACTGTCATGTGTTTATATTGCAACATAGTTGTAAAATTAAGTGGGAGTGTTGTAAGATTATAATTTGACAGTGTTGAAATGTGGTACTCTGCCCTCTTGTGTTCGTTTTTAAGTATAAGTGCTCTTACAACGAATAAAGACAACACTGACATCAGTGCAAGTTTTTCTGGGCTGTTACTGCAAGGAAACTGGCTGTTGAGGCTTTCCAGGTGGTCAGCTGATTCCTCACCTGAGTGTAGTACTGTCCAAGGAAGTGGTCTGGCAGAGCTATGCCATCATAAATTCCTCCGCCACCTCCTCCTGCTGCTCCCCTGTCCTCAAACCTAGCCGTATGGTAGGAGCCACCGATGTTCCACTGGTTCCTGTTTGCCCATGCTTCTTCCATTTGGCCACCAGCAAAACCACCTGAATACTGGGCCTCATTTATCCCATCCATGGAAGCGACAGACTTCACCATTGCTGAGGCACCACTATCCCTCATTTTGAAACCATTCCCATCCACCTGTGTTGGCATGTTTATCAGTGGCACCTCCTACAAAGACCAAGGATCCAAATGTCAGATTACAGTCAACAGTCAGCAAACAGAAAACTACCTTTAGCTGTAAAATGCTTGGAATGGAATGTTTTCAGACCCTTTCAAGTTTTCCACATTTTCTTATATTTTAGGCTCATCTTTAAATAGATTCAATTCTTTTTCTTCTCATCAATCTACACACAAGACTCCACAATGACAAAGTGAAAGCAGGTTGTTGGAGTGTTTTGTTAATTTATTAAAAACAAATGAGTGAAATACCCATTTACATAAGTATTCAGACCCTTTGTTATGACACTTGCTCTGGTGTCATTGAGATGCTTCTACAGATTGATTAGAGTCCATCTGTGTCTAATTTAATGTGCTAGATATAACTAGGGAAAGCACACACCTGTCTATATAAGGTGTCATAGTTGATGGTGTATGTCAGAGTGAAAACAAAGTCTTGAGGTGGAGAGAACTGTCCACAGACCTGTGAGATACTGTGGTGTCAAGACACACATCTGGGCAAGGATACAAGAAAATTTCTGCAACATTCAAAGTGCCCAAGAGCACGGTAGCCTCCATCATTTTCAGATGGAAGATATTTGGAACCATCACCAGTCTTCATAGATCTGGCTGCCCAGCCAAACTGAATAATCAGGGGCAAAGGGCCTTGGTCAGAACAGTAACCAAGAACCCAAGTGTCACTATGAGTGAGATCCAGAGTTCCCTTCTGGAGATGGGAGAACCTTAGAGAAGAACAACCATCAGCGCAGTGCTCCACCAATCAATGGAGGTCTCAAAGCGGGTGTAGAAGGTGTTGAGGTCATCCAGCAGGCTGTCTGTGGAGCTGATGATGCTGGTGGTGGTCCTGTAGTCTGTGATGTGCTGCAGGCCTTGCCACATCCGCCCAGAGTCAGCAGTAGAATAGAACCCATTCAGCTTATCTCTGTACCACCCCTTGGCTGCTGTGATGGCCTTCCTCAGTCTGTACTTTGCAGCTTTGTACTCCATTGCATCGCCTGATCTGAATGCATGAGAGCAAGCACACAGCATGTGGCATACTGACTGTTTATCCAGGGCTTCTGGTTGGGGAACCTCCTGACTTGTATGGTGGGCACAATGTTGTTGATACAATGTGCTAATGTATTCGGTCACATACTCAGCATAATCCTGTACGCTGACAGAAAAGTCCTCTGAGGTGGCTGCAGCTTTAAACACATCCCAGTCTGTCTGGAATACATCCCAGTCTGTCTGGGCGAAACAGTCCTGCAGGGTGCCTTCAGTCTCTAGGGTCCAGAGTTTAATTTGTTTGGTGACAGGGTTTGTTTGCTTCAGTCTTTGTCTGTAGGCTGGATACAGGAACAAAGAAATGTGGTCCGAGCGTCCAAGGTGAGGGCAGGGTGCAGCCCTGTATGTACCACATATATTACTGTAAACATGATCCAGAGTGTTCTTGCCCCAAGTGGGAATGCTCACATGTAGGTAATATTTGGGGAGTACAGTTTGTAAATTGCACTGGTTAGAGTCGCCTGCAGCGATAAATACAGCATCTGAGTGTACTGTCTCTAGCGCGTTGATGACATCATAGAGTTTGCTGAGAGCCGCAGAGGGATTAGCTCTTGGGCTAACATACACAGCAGCCAGAAACATGGCACTATGCTCTTTTGCTAGATAATAGGGCCGGCATTTCAGCAATAAAAACTCTACGTGTGGCGAACAGTGCTTATTAACAGTCTGTACATCTCCACACCATGAGTTATTGATAAACACACACACACCACCTCCTTTTATCTTCCCTGAAGCAGCAGTGCGATCGCTTCGATGTACAGCATGTGTTTGTAGCTGAATCGCTGAGTCTGGAACTCTGTCAGAAAGCCAAGTCTTGGTGAGAACTAGAGCACAGCATTCTCTGATTTCCCATTGTGCTGTAATCCTAGCCCTTAGCTCATCGAGTTTATTTTCCAGAGATTGTACGTTAGCTAGGAAGAGGCTGGGTAATGGCGGTCGGGTAGCGCGAGCTTTTAGCCTAGCATGGAGTCCTCCTCGCCTGCCCCATCTCCGTCTCTGGGTTGCTCTCCTGATTTCAGCCTGCTCGCTTGTGCCTGGTGCTCTGGGGTGATGGTGGTTGTCCTTGTCTTTGTTATTGTTGTCGGAGTGGACAATGAGTTGTAGCTCCAGTGGTATGAAACCAGTAAATTCCCAGTGGCTTTGTGAGTTGATGATATCTAGCAATGCCTGTCTGTTGTATGTAAGCAGTACATGACATTTGTGCACTGCAGAAAAAGCAAAAAGCACGCAAAAAAGAAGAAAATGAAGAAAAAGAGTGGAACGCGCAAACACGTTTGCCTCAGTGGGCGCCATGTTTAAAAAAAAAAAATCATATCCCCTACAGTCAAACACGGTGGTGGCAGCATCATGCTGTGGGCATAGTTTTCTGCAGCTGGCACTGGGAGACTAGTCAGGACAGAGGGAAGAATGGATGCAGGAAAATGCAGAGCAAATCTGAATGAAAATCTTCTTCAGAGCGCTCAGGTTCTCAGGCTGGGACGAAGGTTTACATTTCAACAAGACAATGACCCGAAGCACACCGCCAAGGAAGCACAGGAATGGTTTCAGTAAAACTATAAAAACCTGGTGTGAGGGCTGCTCGGCGGCCGCTGCCTCTCCTCCGCCTTTCTCTCCTCTGTTTTCTTGATCTGCGGGATTCTGCACCTCAGCTGTGTTGCACTCGGTAATTGGCGACTCGTTTGTCGGTGCACACAGCTGGGGTGCATCCCCCTGATTAGTTTTCCTCCTTATTTATACCTCAGGCAGACACTCCGCCTTCGCCGGAGCAATGCAACATGTAACGGACAATACTTACACCCAGTAAGTTACAAATGTTGTGTTTGAGCCGCATTTTTTTTTTTTTTTGGAGTGTGTAAGATTCTTTGCTGACAGTTTCTTATTGGTTCTTTTTGTTCGCCTGTCCGTTCTCATCCTCTGCTATCCTAGATCCTGTAGTTAGTTTGTGTGTTCACCTGTTTGTCCTGGTCTCCTTAGTCATCACTGCCCTTCCCTGGTTGTATGTATTATGGACCCTGTTATGCTGTCACTTTGTTGTTTTTATTCCATTAAACCTCCTTTTTTTGTATTAGCACCTGGTTCAGCCATCTTGAGTCCAACCCCAGTTCTCCCTCACCCTCCTGGTGAGGGGGACTAAACCATAACACTTGGAGTGGCCCAGCCAGAGTTTGGACCTGAAAACGAGAGCATCTCTGGAGAGACCTGAAAAATCACTGTGCACCAATGCTCCTCACCCAACCTGGGTGACCTTGATTGCCAAGAAGAACAGAAGAAAGGTGCCAGGCTTGCAGCTTCATTCTCAAGAGGACTTAAGACTGTCATTGTGGCCAAAGGTGCTTTTAACAAGGACTAAGTGAAGAGTTGGAATACTTATGTAAATGTCAAAAACCTGTTTTCACTTTGTCATTGTGTGTAGACTGATGAGAAAATGAACTGAATCCTTTTAAGATGAGTCTGAAACGTGACAAAATGTAGAAAACTTGAAAGGGTCTGAAAAACTTACGTACTGGCTGATAATGTTGGCTCAGGTTTCTAAGAATGCCTCAAAATGTGACATCTTAATAGTGCTTCAGTAGTGTAACAATTTACCGAATTCAAATCAATTAGCAGAATCCTCTCTGCCTTCAGAAGTTGCTTAATGATGTACCTTTTCTGAGATGACCTCCTCCACCTAACAGGCTTTCTCTCTACCTCTTCTTTTTTTTTTTTTTTACTTTATGCGCCTGCAGCCTTGTCTCTTTAGTATTAGAGCAATCATTCTCCTTGATCTACTATGGCTTCCATTGTACATCCTCTGTGTGATACTTTGGACAGAGGTGTCTGCTGAATGAATAATTACAAGTCTATATTCACGGCATTACCTATCTCTATTATACAGATGCTGCTTTTACTTTGTTGTTTATCATACTTCCACAGTGCTAGTGTACTACAGTCAGGCCAAAAATATTGGCACCCCTGCATTTCTATCAGATAACCACCACTTCTAGATAAGTGTTGCAATCCCAAATTCTTTGGTATTCTCATCTTTATTTCTTTTGTTTGCATTAGAACAACACAAAAAAGCCAAATCTGATCCATTCCTCAGAAAACTCCAAAAATGGATTGGACAGAATTACTGACAGCCTCACTTTAATATAGCCCACCCTCTGGACAAAATAACTGAAATCAGTCTCTTCCCGTAAATATCATTGAGTTTCTTCCACCTCTCTACTGGACTTTTGGATCACTCTTCTTTTACCAACTGCTCCAGGTCTCTCACATTTGAAGGGTTCCTTCTCCCAGTTGCTGTTCTGAGATCTCTCCACAGGAGCTCTATGGGATTTAGATCCTGGCTCACTGCTGACCACTTCACAACTCTCCAGCACATTGTCTGAAACCATTTCTGGTTCTTGTTGAAGTCTGCTTTGGGTCATTGTCTTGGTATAAAACCCATGAACTCTGATAGACCCAACTTTCTGACACTGGGCCCTACATTGTGCCCCAGAATTCATTGGTAGTCTTTAGATTTCATAATGCCACACACACAGTCAAGACATCCAGTGGCTGAAGCAACAAAGCAACCCCAACACATCAGTGAACCTCCATCGTGTTTGACTGTAGGGAGGTGTTCTTTTCTTTGAAGGACTCATTTCATTTTCTGAAAACAGCAGAATGATGTGCTCAACCAAAAAGCTCTATTTTAGTCTCATCTGCCCACAGGACATTCTCCAAGAAGGAATGCGGCTTCCTCGGGTCAGTTTTGACAAACTCCAATCTGGCTTTGTTATGTCTATGTGTCAGCAGTGGGTCCCCTGGGTCTCCTACCATAGTGTCCCTTGACATTCAGGTGGTGACGGATAGTGTGAGCTGACACTGTTGCACCCTGTGTTTTGAACAATCTTTCGTTACAATCTGTCATCTATTGCTCTCCTTCGTCCATGTCCAGGGAGATCAGCCATAGCGCCATGGACCGTAAACGTCTTGACAATGTTGTGCACAGTGGGCACAGGAACATCCAGATCTCTGGACATGGACTTGGAGCCTTGAGACTGTCCAGACTTTTCCACTATTGTGGTTCTCAAATCCTCAGACAATTTTTTGCTCTTCTTTCTTTTCTCCATGCTCAGTGTGGTCCACATGACACAAAGGTTGAGTCAACTTTTCTCTATTTTAACCAAGTTACAAGTGTGATTTCTGTTGCCATCACCCGTTGGTTGCTACAGAGGAGTTTCATTACAAATTAAATGAGCATCACAGACTGGATATCAAACTGTTTTTGATGATGAAAAGTTGTCAATAATTCTGTCCAGTCCATTTTTGGAATTCTGTGTGGAATGGATCATATCTGCCTTTTTGTGTTGTTCCAATGCAAACAAAAGAAATAAACATGAGAATACCAAAGAATTTGGGATTGCAGCGGTTTTCTGGGAGAAGTGGTGAGTTATCTGACAGAAATTCAGGGGTGCCAATATTTTTGGCCATGACTGTATTTAAACAGCTGTGGTGTGTACACACAGATTCAGGTGGAAACTAGAATTACCACTTTGCGGGTGTATGCTTCTGCCAGCCAGTCAAACTAATGGAAATGGGACAGATGTTAGGTACAGTGACTTTTAACCAGTAAAATCCAATCAGTTCGTCCTTGGGTTTAAATTGATGTTTGTGCTAAATTTCAAGAAATTCCCTCAATGGACTCCTAAGGCATAAAAAAAGAGGTGCTTTAGGGCATCCAGAAACAAATCAATTAGTGCACAAAGATTCCAATTCTCTTTTATTGTTGTTCTCTTGACAATGTAAGAAGTATTGTCACACCTACTGTAAATCTTCCCTATGAATATTTACTTTTCTTTGTAATTGTTCTCAAAGGCTATTTAGCATTTCATTACAAAATATACCAAGATATTTGTTGAGATATTTACAGTGGGTACGGAAAGTATTCAGACCCCCTTAAATTTTTCACTCTTTGTTATGTTGCAGCCATATGCTAAAATCATTTAAGTTCATTTTTTTCCTCATTAATGTACACACAGCACCCCATATTGACATTGAATTTTTGACATTTTTGCAGTTTTATTAAAAAAGAAAAACTGAAATATCACATGGTCATAAGTATTCAGACCCTTTGCTGTGACACTCATATATTTAACTTAGGTGCTGTCCATTTCTTCTGATCATCCCTGAGATGGTTCTACACCTTCATTTGAGTCCAGCTGTGTTTGATTATACTGATTGGACGTGATTAGGAAAGCCACACACCTGTCTATATAAGACCCTACAGCTCACAGTGCATGTCAGAGCAAATGAGAATCATGAGGTCAAAGGAACTGCCTGAAGAGCTCAGAGACAGAATTGTGGCAAGGCACAGATCTGGCCAAGGTTACAAAAAAATTTCTGCTGTACTTAAGGTTCCTAAGAGCACAGTGGCCTCTATAATCCTTAAATGGAAGACGTTTGGGACGACCAGAACCCTTCCTAGGGCTGGCCGTCTGGCCAAACTGAGCTATCGGGGGAGAAGAGCCTTGGTGAGAGAGGTACAGAAGAACCCCAAGATGACTGTGGCTGAGCTCCAGAGATGCAGTCGGGAGATGGGAGAAAGTTGTAGAAAGTCAACCATCACTGCATCCTTCCACCAGTCGGGGATTTATGGCAGAGTGGCCTGATGGAAGCCTCTCCTCAGTGCAAGACACATGAAAGCCCGCATGAGTTTGCTAAAAAATACCTGAAGGACTCCAAGATGGTGAGAAATAAGATTCTCTGGTCTGATGAGACCAAGATAGAACTTTTTGGCCTTAATTCTAAGTGGTATGTGTGGAGAAAACCAGGCACTGCTCATCACCTGTCCAATACAGTCCCAACAGTGAAGCATGGTGGTGGCAGCATCATGCTATGGGGGTGTTTTTCAGCTGCAGGGACAGGACGACTGGTTGCAATCGAGGGAAGGATGAATGTGGCCAAGTACAGGGATATCCTGGACGAAAACCTTCTCTAGAGTGCTCAGGACCTCAGACTGGGCCGAAGGTTCACCTTCCAACATGACGATGACCCTAAGCACACAGCTAAAATAACGAAGGAGTGGCTTTACAACAACTCCGTGACTGTTCTTGAATGGCCCCGCCAGAGCCCTGACTTAAACCCAATTGAGCATCTCTGGAGAGACCTGAAAATGGCTGTCCACCCACGTTTACCATCCAACCTGACAGAACTGGAGAGGATCTGCAAGGAGGAATGGCAGAGGATCCCCAAATGCAGGTGTGAAAAACTTGTTGCATCATTCCCAAAAAGACTCATGGCTGTATTAGCTCAAAAGGGTGCTTCTACTAAATACTGAGCAAAGGGTCTGAATACTTATGACCATGTGATATTTCAGTTTTTCTTTTTTAATAAATCTGCAAAAATGTCAACAATTCTGTGTTTTTCTGTCAATATGGGGTGCTGTGTGTACATTAATGAGGAAAAAAAATGAACTTGAATGATTTTAGCATATGGCTGCAATATAACAAAGAGTGAAAAATTTAAGGGGTTCTGAATACTTTCCGTACCCACTGTATATCAAAGGCCAGTTTGGTGGTCTTACTGCATTCTCTCCTTGGCCCTCAGTGCGGTAGTTGATGAGGTGTGATTTGGTATCAAAAGGCATCTCAGTAAAACCCCCTGGTAGACCTGCACCACTCCCACATTGGCAGAAGAGCAGCAACAGAGGAATGACTGTAATGACAGCAACAAAGTGTTAGTCTTACTTGTGTAGTGTGGGGACTGCAGTGTTCCTCTGAGATCCCCTAGTAAAGGTGGTGTAGTTTCAGTTTACGGGGCACAATACAACATGGTTATGTCTTGTCTTGTAACAGGCCATCGATGCAGCTCTTTACAACAGTAGGTTTGGGGAGAGCCGTCCTGGTTGACTGGAAACTGCACTGTGGGCTTCCCTAAGAACGTTGTCAGAGTTGGTTACTGACACCTGCTGGCCAGACCAGTAATCGCATCTTAAAGTAAAAAAAAAAAATTTCTTTCTGTAACAGTTAGGCTGGACCCACACTAGAGGATTTTATCATCTTAATTGATTTAAAAAATGTGAGAGGCCACAGACATAGCAAAATCGTTAACAGATTTTTTTTCCCATTTTTATCTTAAGAGCACACACTAGACAGTTCAGACAAGAGGCAGGACCGCGCACTAGCTGTTTCTACTGAACAATTTCAGAGAAGCCAATTCTGGTGACCAGGGATCTAACAAAATCTCCCCTGATCAAATGTGACTTCAGAACAAAACACACATAGGTGAAAATCTGTTGTCAAGCAGAAGCTCTTCTGTGTGCTATGTTTTGCACAGATTAAAAAAAAGAGGAGAAAAAACTTGTTACTGTCAGTTACTTTGAGTTGCTGGGGCATTTTTGTCCTTAATCCAGTTGAATATTTAGTGATAGTGGGTTGTTGTTTAAAATAATTTTAAGGTGTAAGATTAATGTTTGTAGTTTAGTTTAGAGCTGCTGTTATTGTATGTTCAGTATTTGTGCACATAAATTGAATGTGTAGTAATAGTGTTATGGTGGAATGATAGAAATGTTAGAGATGGGTCTGTTTACCAGGTTTGAATCTGGAAAGAAAGGTAGGATTTTAAATAAAGGTTAATGGTTTGCAGGTTGTCTGTAAGACAAGACAAACTTAATTGCTCCATAATAGACCCTTTATGAATTTTAACTGCAAGTGGTCAAAGCTATGATAATAATTTGCATAATCTTTGTACTAAACTCAAGTCCGCCTTGTCACAACCTAGCTCAAAGGCTGTGACAAGGAGGGAGTCCATTCATAGGTTAAAAGTGAGCAAACAAGAATTTAAGATGTGCACAATGAAGGTGTTCAGTGTCTGATCACATGACCCTTCATCAGAACAAGCATCACATGTTACTTACGTAGTAAGAGCAGCAGGCCCAGCAGTAGCAGCCCGATGCCCGCAGGTCCTAACTTTGTTTCTTTGCTGTCATCTCGTTTTCCACATGCTACTCCATCCTCACAGGTACAGACTTGGACCTTGACTTTCTGTGGTTCTGGACAGGCCAGGCCCTGCTCATCCTTCACACTGAATTCCACTTCATAGACTCCAGGCCACAGGTGCTCCTGGGCCCTCAGGATAGCTGCAGTGTCTGTGGGCAACAAGACAAACATAAAACATAGAAAATCAACCTAAAGTGTTTTCACTTTAGGTTTGTAAAATGTTACGAACAGTTTTCTTGATTAACTGGCAAATGACCTGAATGTATTCTATTGCAGGTTTGACAAACACTGCCCCCTCACCGTCCCCACCTCAAACCCAGCAGCTGCTCCCCCAACAATTACCACCCTTCCCTCCAGCCCCCAACCTCTACCGATCTGTGAAAAGGATGAAGTCCTTTGAAAGACTTGTGTCAGCCAACCTGAAGGACACTGTAGACCTCTGCAGTTTGCCTACCGGGCAAACAGGTCAGTGGACGATGCAGTGAACATGGCACTGCATTACACCTCGACTCCCCAGGGACCTATGCATGGGCCCTCTTTGTGGACTTCAGCTTGGCATTCAATACCATCATACAGGTCTCTATTTACTTTATTTTTTATCGTGCTTCCTAATGAACATTCCTTTGTTTGTTTGCACATTACTTTATTTTCTGTTCTCTCAGCCTTATATTGTTTACTTGCCCTTTGCTACTGCCGTGCATAAGAATTTGTTCATACATAGTGTTACGTATGAGTGTGGTGTGGACCCCAGTTGCAGACACAGACCAGGAGGAGTAGGAGCCAAAGAAAGTGGTTTATTGACCAAAACACAGGTAAGGCTGGGGACGACGATAATTAGCGTGATAAGGTCAAGCCAAAGACGAGGACCCAGGGAGGAGACCAGACAGGAACCAAGAGGGATGAGGAGACCAGGTGGGAACCAAGAGGGATGAGGAAACCAGGCGGGAACCAAGGGGGATGAGGAAACCAGGCAGGAACCAAGGGGGATGAGGAGACCAGGCGGGAACCAAGAGGGATAAGGATACCAGGCGGGAACCAAGGGGGATGAGGAGACCAGGCGGGAACCAAGGGGGATGAGGAGACCAGGCAGGAACCAAGGGGGATGAGGAGCAGGGCAAACGCAGGACCCAGGAGACGAGCAGGAGACCAGAGAGAAGACAACACCAGGAAGGACCAGGGTGGCAGGGTCACACTTAGCACTGGCAGACTGAGTAGCACTGACAAACTGAGTAGCACTGATAGACCGGGTAGCACTGACAGACGAGTAGCATAAACATAGGGTATCGTATGCGTATCATTTGTGCATGAACCAGCAAAAGCGCAGCGGCAGACACGGTGGTATATATATCTGACGGGACCGGGAGACAATGAACGGCAGGTGGAAGGAATGATGACTGATTGCAGGGAGAACCGCAAAGGACAGGACCGGGAGATAACAGGCAACAGGTGACAGACATGGCGACTAATTGCGGTGACAGAGGAGCCGGGAAGAGAACAGGTAAACAAACAAAGCCAGGAAGCCGATCGACATGACACCATAACACATAGTGAGAGTCAATGTACCAGAGTCAAATTCCTCGTGTGCCCAACACATCTGGCCATTAAAGCTGATTCTGATTCTGATTCTGATTAAAGACTAAAGGTTGGATTTGACTTTTTCACATGGGCATTCTGGAAGTCTTTGACATAACTGGCAGTATTCTACTCACCATTGAGATGCTCAACCTGCCATTTGCCCTGAGTGCCCTCTTGGATGATGACGAAGTCAAAAGGAGGCCCGTTAGGGAATGGATCCGCATCTGCAGCGCTCACAGTAACAGCATCATGTGTGGTACACATAGTCTGGATGTTACTGGTAAGGGTGGGGCAGTGATCATTAAAATCTTCCACCTGGATGGCTATGGTGCCAGTGGCTGTTTTATCAGGCATGTCTGTGTTAGAAAGACAAAGACAAGAACAAATCATTCAGCATTTTCTTTGTTTATTTCTCCTTTTTTTTGAGAAACATTCAGAGATAATCACTTCATTACCCCTGTTGGCTGACCTGCAAAATGTGTTTAGGTTGACGGTGAAGAAAATGTTCTCCTTGCTTCTTTCTTGTGACTTGGACTTTTGTAATCTTAGGGAGTTACACTAAAGGAAGAAATGAAGACTTTCTCATTGAAGCTTGATGTTGCTACCTGATTGATTTTTTTTTGTCAAACTTAAAAGATGAATTAAATATATCTCCAGTGTTTTTTTTTTAATTTTCTCCATGAGATTTTAAAAAACAGTGACTCAAGTAACAAGTGAATCAAGATGAGGGCTGAGGATGTTATTCATCTTAGGAGTGATACCTATATAAAGTTCTTTGTCTATAAAGAAGTCAAGGAAATCTTCACAATCATTAACAGAGGGCTCTTAACAGGAATTAGTATTTAGGGAGGTGACAGAGTTTAACAGAGCGAAGAGTACCCTGGATTTATGGCAGTTTTTGGTGAGAACAGTGGAGAAATATATTGTTCTGGTTGCTAACTAGCTACACCTAACACTTGCACAGTCAGTACACTGGTTTGTGGAGAACCCCCCAAGATCCTACTAACTAAAACTCACATACCTTAAAACTGTCTTCAAGACAAAACCTTGAATGGCTGTGAACAGCCTCCATATTAATGAGAATAAATCTGAAGTTATATTATTTGGACCTCATCATTTAACTAACAACATTATTCTTCACCTTGAGTCACTGTCTGCTTTTGTTAACAAATCAATCGGGTAGTAAAATCAAGCTCTAGTCAGCTCTGCACTGTGCTCAGATTCAGGTTAATTCTCTGCTCCTTTGGCCTGGAGAAAGTCAGTTTGCTCTGTTTGCTGTAAAGCATTTCGGGTCAGCTGTGTTGTGTGTGTAAAGTGCTATACAAATAAAACTATGGTGAAGATGTTTTTACAGCTCAGATCACAAAATGTCTTGAAAACATTTTCTTCTTAACTCTGCACTTCACTTTGTCTTTGTATCATCACTCCACTGAAACAGCCCTTACTATTGTAGTGAAAACCCACATTACTAGCTTGTTCCTCAGTGGTCCAGACCGAGTCTCACAGTGGAACATACACTATCAGCCATGACCACCTGCCCAACACTGTGTGCTGCCAAAACTGCTCAGGCTCAATGAGGCATGGACTCTACAAGACCTCTGAAGGTGTTCTCTGGTATCTGGCACTAAGACGTCAGAAGCAGATCCTTCAAGTCCAGTAAGTTGCAAGGTGGGCCCCTCATGGATCAGACTTATTTGTCCAGCGCATCCTAAAAATGCTCAGCTGGATTGAGACCTGGGGAATTCGGAGGCCAGGTCAACACCTTGAACTCATTGTTGTGCTCCTCAAACCATTCCTGAACCATTTTTGCAGTGTGGCAGGGCACAGTATCCTGCTGCCATCAGGGAATACTGTTGCCATATATGTACTGTAGGGGTGTACTTGGTTTGCAGCAGTGTTTAGGTAAGTGGTACTGTATGTGTCAAAGTTGCATCCATGTGAATGGCAGGACCCAAGGTTTCCCAGCAGAACATTTCACAAAGCATAGCACTGCCTCTGCTGGTTTGCCTTCTTCCCATTAGTGCATCCTGGTGCCATCTCTTCCCCGAGCAAGCGACGCACACACATACAGCTATCCACATGATGTAAGTGAAAATATGATCCACCAGATATGCTCCATGGTCCAGTCCCGTTGCTCACTTGCCCATTGTAGGTGCTTTTTGACAGTAGACAGGGGTCAACATGGGGACTCTGTCTGCCACTACAGAGGCCCATATGCTGTAAGCTGCGATGCACTGTAACCAGCATCAAGTTTTCCAGCTATTTGTGCTACAGTAGCTCTTATGTGGGATCGGACACGGAGTACCCTTTGCTCCTCACGTGCATCAGTGAACCTTGGGCAAACATGACACTCTGACCCAGTCACCCAGACATCACAAGTTGGCCCTTGTCAAAGTCACCCATATCCTTAAACTTGCCCATTTTTCCAATGTTCACTAGCTGCCTAATAAACCCCAAACACTTACAGGTGCCACTATGAGTGTTATTGACTTCACCTGTACATTCATGTTAATTGCTCCAAAACTATGGAACAAATTATAATGATATATACATTTTGCCAAAAAACTAATTTTTCCGCTTGGCTTTTAAACCTGCCCAAGACTCTTTGCTTTTACTATGATTGACTGTGATTCTTCTTTATTTCTTTAGCTATCTCTTTTAATATTGGACAGCCTTTTGGTCAAATTCTGTTGTTTTAAAGGTGCCATTAAATAAAGTGACTTGTGTTGACTTCAAAGGATTCAGATTCCAACTCTGCTTCTCCTACGGTGGTGGTTCCCAAACTGTTTCTGCTTGTGTGCTTGTTCCCTCAAGCACATTAACATCAAGGCTGTGTGCCTCTATCTCTTCTCCTGCTCTCTGTCCTCTCAGGCATCCACAGCTGGTCCAGCCCTCAGCTGCCCTAGGACCTGTCCCTCCCCACTGTGCTGGTGCTTCATTACATATGTTTTAGATCAGGATTTTTATCCTCCAGGAGTCCCAGTCTGTTCCTTGTCTCTCCCTCCCTTGTGTTCATGTTATCCTTGTCTCTCTCTTCTTTGTGTATTTGTTTCCTTCTCCAGTCTGTTTGTGCAGTCTGTCCTCATTCCAGATCTTCATGGCGGAAAGGAGGTTGTGTGGCTCAACATCCTCCAAGATCATATCCACTATAACTGAAAATGTTGTCATTCTGATTTTCCATACTGTAGCTCTACTATGTTGCTCTGTTCTATACACACAACGTACGCAGAAACTCACCTACCTTGTCCTGTCAGCTTAATGTGTCATACCTTTCTACACATATGTTTTCCTAAGAATACTAGTCCTACATGTACAACACTTGCAGCTGGAGCAGATATATAGTAGAGCATTGTACCTTCTGAAATGCAGAGTATTTTAGCAAAATATGTCCCATTGACCAGGAATGGAGATTCTCTGTCAGGCATCTTGTTCAGTTTGATGTCAGCGGTCTTTGGGTCGATGGTTAGCCAGTTGTCAAGGTCTGAGCCTTTGGCATACCTACAGCAAAAATGCATTGTCAGTTATTCTTATTGAATATAATAAATAAATGGAGCTGACAGTGTATTCTTAACTGCAGAGGCATTCATGTGATTGCACTGACCTGACATTCTCAGCTTGTTTCCCAGTGTCTCCATCTATTGCAGCATAGCGGGCAATAGCATTGTTAATATTGATGGAGTGGCCTCCCTCTGAGATGGGAATAGCTTTGACTTTGGGGTCAAAATGTGGCCCCTCAACCTGGTTCTTCACATTGATTTTGACTGGATAGGTTTTATATGTGGTCACACTTTGCCATGATGATCCTCCAGATGCACCTCCTGCACCGGCACCACCTCCTCCTCCTGCTCCACTTGCTCCTCCTGCTCCACCTGCTCCCCCTGCTCCTCCTGCTCCCCCTGCTCCACCTCCAAAACTTATACCACCCCCTGAATATACACTAGATCCATCATATGGTGGAGCCTTGTTCCTCACAGTTATTCCTAGATCAAGATCCTTCACATCTTCATAATCCACAGCCTGTGAAATGGCACACACAAACACAGATTATAACAATAATATTATTACAATATTCTAACAATAACAGTTAACAGTTAATGAAAACAGTCAAAAATGAATACGTTGCATTGTCTTGGTTAAATTGCCAAGCATCATTACGCCTTCAGAGAATCGGCACCTTGATGTGGTGGAGAGATCTTCACATATCCACTACCTTGTCAAGAGCAATAGCTCCTGGACTGGCAAAGACTGGCAGTATCAGGCCGATGCCAACCTCCACTGACACAAGTAATTGTTCCTAAACTCTGGGTGAGACTAGGGACATGAGTCAGAGTGGACCATGTTCCATATCAGAGCTGTCTGCCTAGAATTGTGTCTTAAGCTGAAGGACACTTTGGGGCTTCCTTGAGCATCCCTCAATCAAAGGGTTAATGGTTCAGTTCTTTGGCTCCTCTTGTCTATGTGTTCTTGGGCCGTAAGTTCAGTCCATCTACCATTTACTTCAGAAAGTGTAGGCGGGTATCAGAAGGATGACAGCTTTTGTAGCAATGAAGGCAAATCTTGCTTATGGGAGGACTTCAACAAGGCTATGGAGGAGGACTGTAGTTTGACTTCAGGGAGGTTATGAGAAACTGTCAAGTTCAAGGCTCAGTTCATACTGTTTTCAACAGGGAAGAGAACTACTAGACTGAGGATCCTGTTGGATGTTGGAAGTAACACTCTGAGGAACATTTGAACCCAACTGTTCTCCACAGAGAAGGCAGAGCTGTTCTTTCTGGCTCTTACGAGAGTTAAATGAAAGTTGGTTAAGCAGCTATTGGCTTTTGTGACCCTGGGTGCTGCTTAACTAGGCTGCATTATACAGTATGTGCTCCAAACAGTGTTTAAAACCAGCCAGTAAATGTTCCTCTTCTGCTACGTATTTGATTAGTTTTATTTTACTTGGTTAAGGTTTACTGTGGCGTTAGTGCAGGTATTATTTCTATACATGTGTATGGTACATGCTCTGTGAGTATATGTTTACTAATGTGAAGCACAGTGAATCTCCTCTGACATTAAATGCTCTATATACTGTAAATAAGATTAGTTTTGCTCTGTGTGAGGTTAGCATTGCCACCTCACAGCAAGAAGGTTCTGGGTTTGAACCCGCCAGATGACATGTGGCAGCATGGTTCTAGCCCTTCAACCCCCCCATCATAGTGAAGAGGGTGCTGAGCCTGAAGGCAAAGTGTTTAATTTACTGCTAACTTTTAAACTCTTACCTGTAAATGTGGGTTTTAGGTAATGACCAAATTAAAGACATTGCAGATACAGCCTGGCAAAATGAGGTTGCTTGAGATGGGGGCAGGGTTCACCCACAGAAGTAGGGTGAGTATGTCAGACATCAGGAAGTAGCTGATGAATTTTGTGTTGAAAAGATGTAGGTGAGACATCTTCCTTGATGCCTCCCTGTGGAGATGTTGCAGAAAAGTTCAAGGGGGACTGAGAACATGTCCAGTCTGGCCTGAGAATACCTTGAGATCCTGCAGTATGACCTGGAGGACATGGCAGGAGATAAATATGCATGGTCTACCTTAGTCCTGTTACCTTAGTCTACTGTTCCTATGACCAGGTCCTGGACAGGAGGCAGAAAATAGGTTGATGGATGTATCAGAAGGGAGTCTCCTGGAATTTTGGACAATTGAGTGTTCTTACATACATGTTTACAGTAAGCTTATGTCTTGAGTTTGTATTCCTAATTACCTTAAAATCACTGCAAATTGATGGCATTTGTACCTCTGCCTCATATATGGGCCATAATGACACTTCAGAGGGCAACTGTGAGTTAACATCAACCTAGTGACTTTTGGCAAACTAAAAGCAAATCGCATCTTGCTGTAAACCTCCTTGTCTCTAACAGGCTATTCATGCTTTGATCCTAAGGTCAAGTGATGTCATTTTCATCATCTTCCCAGGTCAGTGAGGGTCCACGCACACTCTGTGTGGATGGTCTGCACAGCAAAAGCCCAACTGTGCATGTACCACAATGTCTGGAAGCTGTTGGTATATGTGGACAGAACGCAGATCCTTGATTTGAAATATGAATAGGAACGCCTGCACGTCCCTCGTCCATATCCATGTGCACATGAGGGTACAGGATGAATCTCCCTTAAGTTACTACTTCTTTTTGTAGTCAAGTCTACACGGACTCCTTTCATGAATAGCAAGTTAATTTCTTTTGTTCTTGGTATATGGTCACTGCATTTACCACAAAGAGCCCAATGAAAACTGGAATTCTGACACATATGATTTCTCTGTGTTTAAACTGCAGTACCTTGTCCAGCATTAGGATTCCCTCGTTGGTGACGGGATCTGTTCTAATGCTGAAGTACCCAGCCTCATTGCCTTTGACAATATCATACACAGCTTCCCAGTTGTCTGTGTTCTTCAGGTCCAGGTCCTGAGATTTGAGTCTCATCACCTCCACACCCTGTGTGTTTTCCTCAATGCTGCCCTCATACTGCAAGTAAAACACAGGAGAAGAATGTCACGGGCTTCATTTCAGCAACATTAGTGTTCTTTAAGGTGTCATCTGTAACATGAGCACATTCAACTTTTCCATATTTTTTTATATTGTCATAAAAAACACTGAAAACATGTATCTCTGAAAACCTTCATTGAAACAAATTCTTATTGGGAAAGTGCACAGTATAACGTGTATATATAAAAAAGTGTGAGAAAGAAAACTACCTTCTCTTTTTCCAAAGTCGGAAGGTTGTCATTCACATCTTGGATGTTAATAGTAACGGTGCCAGTTCCACTGTTTCCCCCTGGTTTGCCATTGAGGTCTTGACCTCTCACTGTCAGAATGTATTGATCTACTTTCTGAAATAAGAAAACAATCATAAATTACAGTGGTAGAGGATGTTTCACATGTTGCAGTGAGATGGGAATAATACAAAAAGTGTAAATGTAAAATAGCAAATTGGCCAATTTATTAACATCTTCTTGTCTGAATGTGATATGGTTAGCTACAATCCCAAATCAGAAACGGTTGGGATGGTATGTAAAATGAAAATTAAAATTGAAACTGTGCAAATCATCTGTGCCCAGTATTACACTGAAAACAATACAGCAGCACATTATTTGATGTGACACCTCATCAACTTTATTCTTTGTTTAAAATAAACACTCACTTCAGTTCTGATGCCTGCGACCTGTTCCAACAAAAGCTGGGACAGCTGCATTTCAGGACCAATAAAACTTGCAGATTTGATCATATACTGTAACTCCTATTCTTGCTTCTCTTCATTGTTGGCCAGTTCATTTTAGAATTGATTTTAAAATATTGGTATTTGTTTTTAAGGTTCTCAATGGTTTAGCCCTTATCTCCTTATCTCACTGACTGCTACATTTGTACAAACCTGAAAGAGAACTCAGATCATCTTTTGAAGAATCAGTCCCAGGGTCTAGATACAGGCACTGGGGAGGCCGAGCTTTCGCAGTGGCAGCAACTCAAATTTGGAATGCTTTGCCAATTAATATTAGATCAGTTACAAATTTAAATCTTTTTAAATCTTTGCTGAAGACTTATTGATTTACATTAGCTTTTGAGTAACAAGTGAACTCTGATATCTTCCATTTGACATACTTGATGTTTTAATCATTTGTCATAGGTTTACCTGTGTACTTTGGCTTTGGGGTCGCATTCTAGCTGTGATTTCTTCCACTTGTTTTGTTTGTTGTTACTCTGCTTGCTTTTTATATACTATGCAAAGCACTTCAGGCAACATGTTGTTGTTTTAACGTGCCATATAAATACATTTGATTTGATTCGATTTGATATTTTTCACGTTATTATGACATACTGTATTTTCTCATAATAATGATATATTGCGATAGCCTCAGTGAAATACACTTTCAAATTTATGGCCCAAAGAACCATCAAATATGATAAAAGTGGATCATACCATATCTACAGTTATTCTCAAGAACTGGTCTTATGCCGAGTTCTGCCTGCTGGGAACTGCAGGCCCCTCCTACACACATTCATCTATAGTCAGCACTACACTGCTGTGCTTTTCAACACACATCCAATGTGATTCGATCCAATGAAAACACATTATTATCTGGGTGTTGCTGTAGTTCATAGGTTACCTCTCTGTCTAGGGAAGGCTTGTTGACGAAGACAGTCCCATCACTTCTCATATAGAACATGTCGTTGAATGGACTCTGGGCTATGATGGAGTAGGCAATCTGAGAGTTCTCATTCCCTGGTTCATCAGCATCAGTTGCAATGACTTTCATAACTGATGTTCCTGTAAATACAGCAATAAATGAAACAGTCATCAAACCTAAATATGCTGCGTGGAGATTTAAAGGATTACTCTGCCACACACCACATATATCAGATGTCACATATGAGGATCGAAAGAATTGTACACAGAAGCAGACACACTGCAGTACCTGCAGGACTGAGCTCAGCCACCTCCCCGGCCTTCATGACTCCAAACACTGGAGCATTGTCATTCTGATCCAAAACCTTGAGTCGTATGTCAATTTTCTTCTCTGCCAGCCTGTCATCATCCCTGAACCTGGCAACACCCAAGAGCTGAAAGAGCAAAAGATAAATGTTGTCATCTCCATCATCTGTTTTTGCAGGTACATTTGCAGACAAATAGTCTGTGACATGAATGTGTAGGAAATGTTTGCCGCATATCTCAATATTGTACATGAAAAGCAGCACTTACTGAAATATTGTATCAAAGTGAAAAGGTACAGTAAAACAGAATAAAGTCCATCTTGGGTCACTTACATTGTATGTATCAATGAACTCCCTGTCAAGCACTTGGGTCACACGAATTAGTCCACTTTTAGAGTTGACTGTAAACACGTTTCTGGGCTCTTGGTTAGCACCAATGCCTTCCAGGGAGTACTTAATATTCCCTGTGCCATCATCAAAATCTGAAAAAATCTGAAATACCCAAAAAGAAGAAAGAATTCAGATAAACGTAGCCTAATTCATATTCATTTCAGTCCTTATCTGCATCTGCTAGTTGCAAAGTTTTACTTGTTTCTTGAGAGGTGAATGACTAAAAAAACCTCTAAACTACCTCTAAAGTACTGTCTGTCCAGCATGTCTGGCTACTTGTGCTCCACCACACAGATCCATGCTTGTTGTTTACTGAAGAAGCAGAACATGTTCCAATGGCCCCCTCTTGTGGCTGCTGATGGTTATTTACAGCAGATTTTGTGTTTCAAATGTTAGTAACACACACTAAATGGAACGATGTGCTGTCCATAAGCTTGATCTGCCATTAGTTGCTTACACTGATTTTGTCAATGTATGCCCATGCAAGCTTCTCATCTATTCATAAAGATGCAAACTTCAACCAACATGATAGTGGTGTGCTCTGTAGGTAAATGTTGAGATGAGAGACCACTGGGATTCAAATGTACAAAACAGCAAACGTCTGCACTCACACATAGATTACATGAATTGCTCATGACAAAAGAAACATGACCTTTTACATGAATTTGACCGTTTACACATTCATTCAGGGTTTTGCCCTAAATGGGACGAGGAGAGATGGGAGATAATGGGTCATTGAGACATGTCAAACTGAAAATTCCACAAAGCAATGGACAAAGGTTAACATGATTATTGACTCAAATGAAAAACAAACTATACCGTTTTTTCTGTACTTCAATAACCATCTGAAATTTATTATTTCATTTTGGCCAAGATATACTGCATCATTTCTGAAAATCCAAAGTGTCTCTCCTTTTTAGGGTATGTGTCCTGTTCAAACACAAATACATGAGCAAATAAGATGATATACAGCACCACAAAGGTGGCGTTATAATTAATATTTCTCTGGCTGTATGTCCCACTAGTTTTCAAATTAAGAAATCTTCTAGTTTAAATGATATTGGAGCAACGATTAGACCGGAGGCAGTTGGAGGAGCTCAAGGGCTTCATATTCTCATCTCTGTGTGCAGGGAGATAAGATACTAACTTTTCTTTTATGTTTATCAGGTATAGGTGCCTTTTATAATGTTTTTGTTTTAATCTTAGCTGCTGAATCTGCAGTGATTCAATTACATCAAAGTCAGTTCAGTGACTCACCTTGGTAATATAGTCCTTCTGAGTGTTGTCTATATTTTCCTCCAGTGGTTTTGCTGGGGGAATCCAGATTCTTTTTTTTCTTACCAGATTGTCTCCAGAACTGGCCCAAACCACAGCAACAGCCTGGAAATGCAAGACAGCAGATCTAATTACTCCACAATGGAGCCTTACCTGAAAGACTAATCTGTGGCCTACACATGTAAAGTCAGGTACATCTCATTAAAGGTTGATAAGTCAGTAAATCCCTTCATAGGATGCAACTGTACCAAAAAGGAAGTACTAAATGTGCATATTGGAGAGAAAACCTGGAAAATTGTCCAATTGTCCAGTATTTTTACATATTCATAGTCAACCTCAAGCACTGTCATGAAATCCAGTGTTGGGGCTTTGCCAAGTCAGTCACAAAACCTCTACATCTGGCTATTCAATGTGCGAAGATTGCAGCCTGAGAACCTGCTGGTGGACACTGGTGGTGAAGGAGGTTGTTGTAGGTGAGGGCCCCCTTCAGGCTTCAGAGCAAGAAGAACCAGCACTTCATCCAAAACCCTCCAGCAATGCTGTGTAATGTAACACCTCATCAGAAACCAAGCCAAACCTCTGACTCAGAATGACCTGCAAACACCAATGCCCAAGATAACGAGCCCTTCTGCACTTAAATTTCTGAATCTTCACACCTAAACTGTTAACATTACAAGCACAGTGTGTAAATACGCACTCACTGGTTTAGAGGTAAAAGGTTCAAGGACTTCACTCTTTGCTTTAGAGGTAAATTGAGGACTTCAGTGAGTGGACCACAGGCAAAGTGGTGAAGATGTCACATCTCTGCAAGTCCTCACTGAGCGACTGTTTGATAAACTGCTCATATAGTCTCCATTACTAATAGTGTTGCACTAAGGAGCACTGTGATCCTTGACTCGCACATACTCTGCTCAGCTCTGTTTGTGAGAGCATGAGAGAACAGCCACTCCACCCTCCTCTAAACACAGACTGACCCGGGGAGAGTGGAAAAGCATAGTAGAATGGTCCTCATCGGCCCGTATACCGCTCTGAAAGTGAAAACACCTTCTCTTGTGGTTAGCCATGTTGCTAACATAGTCCGTTCTGCCTTAGCACCAATTCTACCACCTGTGTGGCGGCCCTGATAAGATAAAAACAGTTTGACTGCTTCAGTTCTTAGGGGTTTTTTTTAGGCCCCAACAATCGAGTTTAAAAAAGTATGACATTAAGGCAATGTAAGGCTCCATCCCACAGTGTGATACTGGTTGCTGGTTCTTGACTTTTAAAGGTCAAAGATGGCAGGATCAACATTCTGGTTAATCAGTCATGGGCAACAGCTCTGTGAGAACCCACCGCCTCTCCCCTCATGTTCCTGGAACTTGATTTTAATTACAATCCCCTGAAGGGTGATGAAATTTAGCTCCCAGAATGCACCTCCACTGTGGGCAGGGAGCAGCAGAAACAAACTGTGGAAATCTGAATTTAAAAAGTAATCAGGTGACACTTTTTGGACATTTGTCCACAGATGTTGAATTACATACATCTACTGTATATGTGTTTTGCGGTATGTGTTCTGAGGTATTCCTCAGAAAATGTAACTACTCATAAAAGACCCTCTTTGCTTACAGTTTCAATAAAACATGAAATATTTACAACCCACTTAAGTGTTTTTAGTTCTTCTGGCTGATTGGAGCTTTGCCCATTTTGATGTTAGCAGAGCTACATATATGCTGAAAATGAACTGCTGTAACAAAGAAGAATGACATGTGTGCATAAAAGTCAAACAAACATGGGATAGTCAGTGCTGTCTGAACATGCCCAGACAATCCTGAGAGAAGGCCTGGCTATTCAGTTAAAGAATTCACTTGCTGTGCCAGATCTCATGTCCTGCTGCTCGTGCAGCATTGAGGCTAGCTGAAATTAGACCTACCAGTTTTACAGAGTGTGGAAGTGACCTGTCATTCACTAAGCACTGACTGTAGACGTTTGTTTCTCTTGCTGCATGGTGAAAAAAATACAAGTATCACCACAACATGATGGTCAGCAAATGGTGTGAGATGAGCTGCTGCAGCCAGCTTGGCTAACGAATGATAGCATTCTATGAAACAGGAAGCTGCATTTCACAAAACACTACAGTTCATACAAAAGACATTTCAAAAAACATTTAACAAAACACAACATCCCTTCACAGAACAGTATGAGAACAGAGAATACTCAAAAACATTTCAGATTACAGAAAATATAGGGACAAGATATTTTGACTGGACAGAACCCAAGTCAACCAAGATCAGCATCATGCCAGAAGCAAATCCCCAGCAATGCAAAACATGAACAAGGCCTAACAGTGCCGCAGATTAGATTTACATGCCAGATTTGGAAAAAGGCACAAATAATTCATAATTTGTAAACTGTTTCACAAAGTAAATACATTTCTCCTAATTCATCAAATTGAAAGAAAACCAGGTTTTCGGGGGAGGAGCAGCCTTTATTACCTAATGTAATAGCAAGCTTTAACATTTGAAAACAGTAACATTTTACAAACCAGTATTTTTGCCTTCTCTCATAAATGTAGTGTAAATGTGCTTTGAAATGCCATGCATTATGAAATGTTACGGTGTACGAAATGTATTTTGTCAAATCTTGTGTTTTGTGAAATATCGTGTTTTGACCTTCAGAACCACCAGAGGACTGTCATGCTGCATAGCTCAGTCAGTTATGCAAACCATCTGTGAAGAAGAAGAGGTGCTCATCATGTAGTTAAATCATGGAAAACTAGAAGCTACTAGTTCATAACTCCAGTTCTATGAGTATGGGCTGTCCATATTAGGTCAGTGTGATTTAAAAAAATGTGTTTTTTAAATTTCTTTGTTTTAAAGATACTGCAAAGGCCTGCACAACAGTAAGATACTGTGGATCTGCTTGTGTTCATAGGTGAGACTGACACGCCCTGCCACTCCTAGGGGATGTAACCAGGCGATGCATGGACATGTCAGGATAAGAGAGGGAAAACAATGAGAAGAAAAGGGAGCGGCCTCAGACGAGCTCAGTCTGACTCACCATCACATGTGTGAAAGACTGTTGAGGACAATGACTTCACACTAATGACAGACGCAAAAGCTGTTCAACCAGAAATACTGTAGGTCTTTAATGACGCCAGCATCAAAATAAAGTACAATAAAGTATTCACTACTGTTCAACAGAAAAAGGTTGGTCTCATAGTGCACTTTAATTTAACAACTGAGTTAAACATTGGACATCTTGGAGGTTGTTTTCAGTTTAGGCCATGGGCAAAAAAAACTTGTTTTAAATGTTCCTTAAATAAAAAATAAAGTTATATTTGTCTCTGAATCATGAGTTTTGTGATCTCCTACTCTCATTTGCTTTGCTTTGGTTTTTAAGATGCATATGCTGTTCTACGGCATCATGTCAAATTTCTGAGACACAGCAAGGGAGTAGAGACCATGAGGCGTCTTCATGTTTCAAATGTATTATGATCCAAAACAAACCACTGACCACATACAACCCCAAGTCAGAAGAAGTTGGGACAGTATCCATCCATCCATCCAGTTTCTATACCGCTTAGTCCCAAACGGGGTCACGGGTTGGGACAGTATGTAAAATCAAAATAAAAAGTGAAAATAGTGATGTGTAAATCATCTGTGTCCTGTGTTAAGATGAAAACAACACAGTAGCATATTATTTGATGTGACACCATCAGTTTGATTCTTTTTTCAAAATAAACACTCACTTCAATTTTGATGCTGCAACACATTCCAAATAAAGTTGGGACAGTAAAGCATTTACCATGGTGTGATGCTGCCATTCTATTTCACAACACTTGGAAGACGCTTAGGGACCGAGGACACCAAGTGATTAAATGTGTCAGGCATCATTTTGTCCCATTCTTCCTGCAAACAACACGTTCTGTACTGGGGACAGGTGGGGACTGCAGGCAGGCTAGTCCAGCACTCACACCCTTTTCCTCCACAGCCTGGCCTTGGTAATGTGGCACGATGAGGTTTGTATTGTCTTGTTGAAATATGCATGGGTGTCCCTGGAAAAGATGTTGTCTTTAAGGCAGCAGATGTTGCTCCAAAGTCTCTGTGTATTTTTCAGCATTAATAGAGCCATCACAGAAGTGTGAGTGACCTTTGCCAAGGGCACTGACACGGCCCCAGTTGCTGGTAACAGTCTGGATGGTCCTTTTTTGTCTTTGGTCCTGAGCACATGATGTCCATTTCCTTCAAAAAAAGACCTGAAACACTGATTGGTCTGACCACAGTGCACATTTCCACTGTGTGATGGTCCATCCCAGATGCCTCTGAGCCCAGAGCAGTCGACCTCTGGACACTGTTGACATAGGGCTTCCTTTTGGCACAGCACAGTTTTAAGCAGCATTTATGGCTGTAACTACGTATTGTAGTGCCTGACACAGGTGAGCCAAAGTCGTTCTAAGCCCAAGTGGTTATATCACTGATAGAAGAGAGATGATTCTTGATGCAGTGCTGTCTGAGGGATCAGAGAGCTCGGTCATCCAGCTTAGACTGGTGCCCTTTACACACTGAAATCCCTCCAGATTCCTTGAATCTTTGATGTGTTGCAGCATCAGGACTTAAGTGAATGTTTATTTTGTCCAATGTTTAAATGTTAATGTTATTTAATGTTTAAATAAAATATTAAATCCTCTTTACACATCATTGTTTTCAGTTTTAATTGTTATTTGACATGTCATCGCAAATTTTTCTGATTTGGGCTTTTAATTACTGATAGCAGCTGGATTTTTGATTAGTAGGCAACATGGAAAAATAAAGGGAAGCTGTCAGGTCAGAGTTCAAAGTATCACACTGGAACTGTATGATCAGCACCTGCAACTATTTTTATTAAAAATGCTACATTATAGACCTTGGCTTCTACTTAACTGATGATTTAGTGAATTCCAACTTTACATGCAGACAAGCTCAAGCGACCGCTGACCAAGAACAGACGTATTGTCTCTGTGTGAAGTGAGATGGTGAAACACACCTAAACATACTGTTCAATCAAGGCAGATTGCGGTTCACACTGTATTCACGGTAGCTGACAATTGTTCACTTGTTTCTCTGTCTGTTAAGAATCGATTAGACGTTTTAAAAACAATAATGTTTATGATTCGAGTTGAGACTTCTACAGAAACTTCACAGACTACCAAACAACAGTAACTAAACCAGACATTTTCTAGATGTACGATTCAAAGTAACATCTGAAAAGTGAGACAGGGAACACCTTCAGGACTCACCACAAGCAGCAGCAGCAAAGGTATGGAAAAACAAACCCGAACCATCATGGAAGAAAAGTCCCAATGAACAGAGTCCCAGTGGCTCCTGCAAAAGTTCCTCACTGATTGTGAGCTGATAGAGGCGAGAAGGAGGTTTATGAAAGAGAGGAAGGCTGCACCACACACACACACACACACACACACACACACACACACACACACACACACAGAGAGAGAGAGAAAGAGAGAGAGACATACGCCTATTTTAACCATGCAGCACTGAGTAGTGTGGGCAACTGTGAAAATGTGCAATAAAGAAAATAAAATAGAAACAAAGACGTATTCCTTCCATTCCAGATAACATGCTTTGTAGTTTCAGATGTGAGAATATTTGCTCGGCTGCCCCTCCATGACGCTCTGATTCTAACAACCCATGTGGATGATTATGTTTAATATATTTGCATGTGACGCATGTTATAACTCAATTTGAATGAATTCCTGAACCAGGTTGTTTTTTTAACATTGCAAACAATTATTATTTACACATGTACAGGAGAAGTCATTTTTCTGCAGTGAGTGTTATCACTGTTAAATCTCTCTGTTTGGCCATTCCCCTGGGGGTGCTACGGACTAGTATGAGACGCCTGGATACCAGAAAGGTCTTCAAGGTGGTGCAGTACTTTGTTTTCAAATTCTCTCCCTAAGTCATGGTGAAACTTTTCAGGAAATCCACACTTGAGACTGAAATCGTCAAACAACTTCTCCACCACCGGTTTGGCTGATTTGTTGGTAGTGGCATATGCTTGGGCAAAGCAAGTATAATGTCCATTA